GTGCTAGGTTGCGTAAACTGAGTTTTCAAAATGGCAAGTGAAAAATGCAGGGGCGTCGATAGATCTCTTTTTGCCGAGTTATGAAGGCAAATTTTGCAGAGTCACTAATTAATACTTCTTTTCCCAAACATGTTGGGGAGGGAGGGGAAGGAGGTATTCATAAAATTAATTTATTCCGGACATATCGAAATTTTTCTCAATATACAAAAAATTTTCCTGGCATATCGTAATATTTCTGCAAATACGAAAATTTTTCCGCACGCACTCGTCATTTTTTAACTTTTAGTCGCGTAATTTTTTCGTAAATTTAGAAACATTTTTTCTATAACTATTACGTTTTATTCCGAGCCTCTAAAAATTTTTTGTTCACCACGAAAACAATATCACGATAAATCTGACAACAATCTGCCGAGTCTAGCAGACATTTTCCGAATCTAGCAGACATTTGCCGAATCTGTGATGAATGGGAGGGGGGTGTTACACCCCCACCCCCCTCTAACTTCGTCCCTGGAAAAATGCCGAAATGAGGATAAAAAGAAGATAAAAAATAATCACGAGAATTGAACGTGCAATATTAATGATCGATATACCAGCGCACGCCATGTACAGATAATGTTATAAGTAATTTGGAATCGCGCGAACTGGGAACGAGATTGCACTGGCCCGTAAGCAATTGGGTTTGCGATCATGCTCGAGCACGGGATAGTCTAAATGGCGCGGGTCGCGAGTCAATAGATCATGGCGCGGGTCCAGCGAAAATGGCGCGGGTCCAGCGAACATGGCGCGGGTAACAAGTTCCGAGGCGCGAGTAAAAAGTTCCGAGGCGCGGGTAACAAGTTCCGAGATCAATTACCCGGTACGGACAATGCAAAAAAACTCATCCCGGGGGTAGGGAATTGTTTGAATAATTTTGTCCCGGGGGTTACCCCCGGGTAAAAAGCAAAGAACCAAACAAAAAATGCCAGAGGTCAACCTAATAAGTCAATCTCATACTTAGGACTTTGTTTGGTTGCGCATCAAAATGGCGCGGGTAACAAGTTCCGAGGCGCGAGTAAAAAGTTCCGAGGCGCGGGTAACAAGTTCCGAGATCAATTACCCGGTACGGACAATGCAAAAAAACTCATCCCGGGGGTAGGGAATTGTTTGAATAATTTTGTCCCGGGGGTTACCCCCGGGTAAAAAGCAAAGAACCAAACAAAAAATGCCAGAGGTCAACCTAATAAATCAATCTCATACTTAGGACTTTGTTTGGTTGCGCATCAAAATGGCGGCTATAAACTCTTTTGCTGGAATGTCCTGCGAATTTGCGAATAGGAGCAATATAAATAGAAAATGTATTTCACTATCATGCAGTCTGCTAAATTCTTGTACGTGGAATTTTAATGAACATATTAAATTCTGTACTATCGTTAAAAATAACATTTTGTATAATTTTTTACGCATTTCAACGCCTTATAGACGTTATATGTGTGTTCCGCCAAGGGTTTCAGTTACTAATTTTGCGTTTATTGATATCATGCCCCGGGGTGGGGAATTGTTCATTTTGAAAGGCCCGGGGGTGGGGAATATTGCCCGGGGGCGGGGATGGTAACAGCTGGAATTGATCGATGCATTAGTGTTAATTTGAGCTTGTATTTTGAATGCTTTGTTACACAAGTCTAACCAGGGCCGGAACTACGGGGGGAGGGGTGAAATTTTATCAGTCGCCAGGACTGCCATCTTGGTCGGCAAAAGTATTCAGGGGGGTCAGTCGGTTGAAATGACCTTAAATTAAACCCCCCTGGAAAAAAAACTTTTGGGGGGATGACCCTGAGTCAAACTAGTGCATTCATTGTAAACATTATTTAAGTTATCACTGTTAAACTATTTATCATTGCAAAAATGATGGACTGGCTTGCCTTGCTGAATTTCATCATTTTTGCAATGATGTCAATGATAAACAGTTTAATAGTAATAATTTAATGTTTACAATATAAACATTTGAAAATCATTGGAGGTACCTACCTTGAAAACCTGTCAAGCTGCATAGAAGTCCAATGAGATGGATTTGGTCAAAATAAAACACAATTTTTATGTATTAATTAATTAAACAATAATTTGTTATCATCGCTATTACATTATTTTAGTTAAGATAAAATGTTTAGATAAACCTCAAAAACAGTCTATTGTTGTTCATTAAAGTGGAAGTCCAATTTGATGCAAATGTTCAATTTCTTCTTCTTCAATTGAACCAGGAATATAATTAATTTTTCCTGGAGGTGTCAAGCTTATTCATGGAGGAATTCGTCTGATGCACTGTACATTGGGACAAAAGTAAAATGTGGTTTCGACTACAAAATTCTTTTCGAAAGGAACATACAAACCCATTACAGACACACACAAATTGTTCTCCAATATTTCTTTTCTGCAACTTCTACATCTTGGCGTTGGTCCCTTTTTTTTCTCTTTGCGTCCTACTGTCCAGAACAGGTGGGAAATTTGTCGTCGCTGACCAAAAAATTGCGGGCAGAAACAAAGCTCATTGCATTTACATTCAAAACAAAGCAGAAAGTTAGCAAGAGGCTGTTTTAGCTGACGATTTTTTGCTTTCCATTCAACGATTTACAAATTATTGGTTATTCTTTTAAAAGTCGATCATGAATTCTTTGTTTTAGGATGATTGTTTTGTAATCGAGTGATTGGAAGAAGTTAATATGGCGACGTGAACATGGGAGTAAATACCGTATACGTCGATCTATGGCTTGTTTATAACCATAATAAACGAAGAAAGACGTGATTTGAGAATGAAATGTAAGTTGAAATTAACTTTATATGCCTCAAATTTTCCATCCTATGTTTCTTAATGTAACTTCAGCTGTCTAAGTTCAAAATACAAGCTCGTGAAATTTGACAAATTTTGAAAATATGTAAAAATAGCTTGACTTTGAACTGTATTTTCTCAAAAATAGCCCGTGGCCTCAATTTCAAATATAGCTAAATGAAAAGAAAAAAGTTTTCGGCGTTTGTAGGTATCAAACATATCGTCAGGAAAATAGGGGCTCGCAATGTTTTAGTTCAGTCTTTGAGACCCAGTTGCTTCGCACGTGTTGTGGTCAAATTTTTGCCAAGAATCAAAGACCGAAATGTGAACTTCCTTCATGAAAACCTCTTCAAGAAGGGTCTAGTTTGAAAATTTAGCTATTAATTTCGATTTCATGAGCATATTTTGGTTACACGTTAAGTATTTTTGTGCTTGATGCGATTCAAAATTTGTTGTATATTCAAGCCCGGCTTTTGTGCTTTTTCTACAAATGTTCTCTGTTTCATGTACTTTTATTTGATATCTTAGGTATAAGCGTAAAAATAGGGGCTCATACAGTTTAAGAGGTAGTAAAATGCATGACTTGCCTCTATTTTCATGTAACAGGGTACTGAAATAGAACGGCACAGGGTACTGAAATAGAACGGCACTAAAAAGTTCTGTATGATTAATTTAGATCATGTCCACTCTTTCAACATAAAACAGTCATTTATTTTGTACAAACATTTTGCAATATTTACACGATTGTGCTTTTTTGTAAACACGCGTTGCGTGTATTCCACACAATTGCGTGACTCATTTTACTCGCGCATGCTCAGACAAATTTCCTACCTGTTACTGTCCAGTTCTTTGGCATGCTGTTGCGTCTATCATTTCGCAGCAGGTTCGCCACAAACTCTTGTCTATTTTGCTTCCTTTTGCCTTCAATATGTTTTACCCTATTTTCAACGGGTGGGGTGTTGCACAATATTTCATAGATTTCTGTTCTGGTTAGAAACATTTGCTGCAGCAATTCACTTGTCTCAGGAACTTTGCAAATAAATAGCAAAACCCATATGATGTGTTTGCATAATTCTTTTTCACCATTTTTTGCAAAGTCTAAACACTGACAGGAATGCATTTGGCCAATTTTAACAAGGTAATTTGCTGATGAGTTTGTTCATAAAGTGTATTCATGGCATGTCTCTGAGTCACGCTTGGTTTCAGCATCTTTCACCTTGATTAGGTCTTTCTCAATCAATTCAAACTATATAATAGACCAATACCTTCAATACTGAGAGATCTTTAGAAATATTCCAACGATCGGATGGATTCAGACGGATATTATTAAAATATTGTTGTTCGTCTTGCAGCTGGCGGAATGCGGAAGAGAATTTTTTTTGTTTATACCGGAGAAAAATACCCACGCCAACCGGAACTTGTTACCCGCGCCTCGGAACTTTTTACTCGCGCCTCGGAACTTGTTACCCGCGCCATGTTCGCTGGACCCGCGCCATTTTCGCTGGACCCTCGCCATGATCTATTGACTCGCGACCCGCGCCATTTAGACTATCCCTTCGAGCACCGTACCAACTTTTGGAGCCATTCTGCAAGTAGACGTTGGCCGTTGGGATTTGCTTCGATGAGGGATGCGGATAAAAATACAAGCGTAAAACAAAAACCTCGTTCGTTGCAGTATATTTTTAAACAAATAAACCTGCTGCCATTCGGAAAATACGTTCAAGAAACGTCCCGTGCTGTACTAGCCTAATTCTGCCAAATTTTAATTATTTTCTTCACCTTCGTGTCGACGACTGTTTTCTGCTGATGGCTACGACAGCGGCCATGGAGCATCAATTATTCAAAATAATTATTCAAATAATTTTTAGCTTCAAGTTTACGATACGAAACACTTTTAATGTAAGATTCTTTATTTTTTACGTATGTACAATCATGAACAAAAGTGTTAATAAAATCGATCGACATTTTAGGAAAATACAATCAAATAACTTCATACAGCCCTCCCCCACTCTCCAACCCAATGTGGCATGATTTTCCTCTCATTTTAAACGTAGTTCAACAACATTGTGCTGGGGGAGCGGGGGATGTTTTAGACAAAACACAGGAATTCGAATTAAACTACAATTTAAACTCCCACAGAGGCAAATTAAAATTTTATAAACAAGTTATGTCCACGATTGTCTGAGCACGGACCTTAAACTAGTAAGTGTTTTTTGGCCTATATTTGCTACTTATTGCCTGAATATCTCTCCCGAGCATTAGATTGTTTTATATAGGTCAAACGGCGTTTCATAGATTTAAAATGGGTTGCTCTCTGGAATATTCCCGTAGGGTTAGATAAACATATGATACGCGATATTGATTGTCGCAATCACATCGCGTGAGTAGCGATTGTAGTGTAATGTAAATGATGCGCACGAAAACTTGTGCCATTGACGTACAGCTAGGGTGCACGGCAATCGCACATTTTTTGTGTTTTGAACCGTATTTAATAGTAACTTTATATTTGCGACGACTTTAAGCGTAATTTACCGATAAAACTGACATAGAAGTCCAAAACTGCTGCCGGTAATTTGCAGTATAGGTCATATTAATATTTTGTCGTAATTCCGTTGCCTTTTTGTACTGCGTTGTATACTAAATTTGTAAGGCCGGTTGGTAAGATTAAAATATGCAAAATAAACGGTATTAACCTAGTAGCAGATTATTAGCTTGAATAGCGTAACGTAAATGACTGTGTAGTAAAATATCAGCAGGAACGCTTGAATGTCATTTGCATATGCCTCAGTAATTAACAATACAACGCTTAACCAGACGCTTAACCATGGCTAGATATGTTAGAAATTATTGCAGGCAACGCTTTGGGACGATAAATTTTGCAGTGTTTCTATCTATTAGACATGAATGAACTTCCTTTTAAATGCTTATATCCTAATTATGGTTACCATTTGCTTATTTGGGTTTTTAAGCACGGTTCACCATAATATTGATAAAATATTTGATGTCTACCGTAGCTGAACATCGTATTTCTGTACAATTCGCAGTTGTGATAACTTAATCTTCTCTGATACAATCCTGCATTTTCTGGAAATGTCAAAAATGCTACAATGTCTACACAAGTATGCCAACAAACATAACATTTCTTATTATTGTCGGTGGTTAACCGTCACGGTTAACCATGGTTAACCGTTCAGCATGACGTGAATCCAGAGGTAGATATTCACCCCAAAGTACGATATAAACGAACTATACAGTTAGCAAGAGCAGAAGATACACAATTAATTTTTATAATGCATTTTTTCACTAAGCCTCCTCCAAACTCTAAGTTTATGTACTGCACATGCATGTTGGTTGCATCAAAAACACTTGCAAATCTATCTGGTTAAATTAACATATAGTGTTGATAAGCGTTTTTTTGTTTGTAAAGCACATATAGTCGAAAAAATAATGTTTTTTGTCTCGTTTTGAAGCTTAAAAATCTCAGCTGAAAGGAATATACATACATTGTGACTTACTGCAATTTATTGGAGACAATCATGGACAAAAGTGTTAATAAAGTCGATCGACATTTTAGGAAAATACAATCAAATAACTTCATACAGCCCCCCCCCCCCTACTCCCCACCCAATGTTGCTATGATTTCCCTCTCATTTTAAACGAAGTTCAACAACGTTGTGTTGGGGGAAGCGGTGGGGATGTTTTAGACAAAATACAGGAATTAAACTACAATTCAAACTCTCACAGAGGCAAATTAAAATTTTATTAACAAGTTATGTCCACGATTGGTTCTAATTGAGAGTGAAAGCGACGATGAAATTTAAAAAAGTGCACACAACATTGAAATGTCCAGTCCACTAGCTCGAGTCTAGCCTGCGAACAGGCGTTTATTCATTCAAGTGGGCCTAACAGGTGGGCAAAAAAAAGTGAAGCCAAACATGGCGGAAATTGAAGGCATTCTTGCGCGTCATTCTCAGTCCCTTTACGTGCGCGGTCAACTAAACATTTTTCTTTTTCTTTATTTTCTGAGTAAAAACCTGATAAAAACAGACGAATTTTGAATGAAAAGTTGAATTCTAGTGTTTTGTTTGGGTTCAGTTCTAAATTTTAATTATTATTTATTTAAAAGATGCGAAATTTGAGCGGAAAGAAAGCAAAATAGCGCGGGATTGTTGTTTTGTAAACGACAAAACAGCTGGGCATTTTGTACGGAGCATGCGCGAAAAAATCAATATGGCGACATATATCAGGAGTGCTTCGTGTATTTATCTGGTTTTAAAGCTGATAAAACAACATTTCAACGAACGAAAACTTTGTAATATTTAATGGAAAACATTAAGCTATACAATCCAAAGGCTTTAAATTAAAAATAAGTACTTTTGCTTTATTTTATTGCTTTTTATGCTTTGAAAACTTTTACCCATCGTATGTTTTATCTGAACATAAATAGATAGAAGAATTGGCTACATAAGTTATAAAGGGAATTGGTAGCTGATCTGAAAGATTTCAGTATTCCTGGTACACATTTTAACAAAGAATGAC